AGGATTATTTTGTAAATGTGGGACGAAGACTGGTAAAATCGCGGCGAAAGAAGAAAGTGGAACGGAAACGGGTACTGAAACGAAGATGTGGGACGAAACGGGTACACTGAATATCTTTATCTCTCCCTCTCCTTTTTATCTCTCTCTCTCTCTCTCTCTCTCTCTCTCTCTCTCTCTCTCTCTCTCTCTCCCTCTCTCACGCATACACACACACACACACACAGAGGCTTTGTTTATGCTTGTGTATGAGTAAAAAAGAGAAGCACATCGATACAATAATAGTTATTTAGTGCTGGGGAAAAGTAAGACAGAAACAATAGAGGGAAAGTAAAGAAGTAGGACCTACCATGGCACCGTCTAACCAGCCGCCCCTTACATTATGTACAATCTCATGACAACTAAAGATATCAGCGGCACTAAAAGGTTACAAAACACTTTCTTCAAGATATAAAAAGGAGCATCTCTCCTCCGTAACACAAAAAGGAAAAACTCGAAAGACTTGGATTTTAAAAGAATGCATCGGCACTGAAATGTGCTAACCGTTTAACTGGGTCATACACGGTAAGAATACACGAGTGTAGTGCCAACATTACCTAACACAGTGACAAGTAAAAAGGCCTTTGAAAAACTAAGCACACATTGATTATATCTAGGCTGCTTGTGATACTCCCAGAAGAACTTAGACATACATTTTGTTCTTCTCTTGCAAAATCATGTTACTAACGATAAACATCTCCGAAAACCAGGCCAACCGTAACCGTGTTGCCTGCATACCCCCCCCCCCGCGCGTGTGTGTGTACATTTTTCATTCAGACAACACTGCATTTTGGCAGCACAACAGGCTACAGGACCCAGGCGCCATGTGGGGACACAAGCACAGAAGGCTGCCCTGTCCGGCCCACAGTAGTTGGCTAACGTTGCAGAATTATGCATAGAACCCCGGGGACCTGGGGGTCTAGTGAGGGGGGGGGAATGCATTGTTCTGTCGGCGATCGCAGCGCTGCTGTTTGTTTATCTTGCGAGTGTCGCACAGTGCGGAAATAACCCGGTGCTGCAAGCACACGGGAAAAGAACGATTGTGCCAACTGCAGGACAAATTGACGAGAGAGAAGAGTACAAAATCTATCTATTCATTAGCATTCACATGAACCATGACAAAGACGAGATGAACCGAGTCGACTAATTGTATTCCACATCAAGTTCGAAACAATAACGGCCAAAATCCACCAAGAGACAAAGTGATAACCCTCAAATTTCGACAGGTCGATAAGTTGTAGTTGATGGTAAGGCCGTACAAAATATACCATATTTTTTTAAAGGAAAAATAATGAACTTGGCTAACTGACTTCCATTTCAGAGATAACCTTAAAAAATCTCCCTTCCCTTCCAAAAGTCTTTATGTCGACAGTAATATTCCATTACGCTGTACACATACGCAATGTGCCGGGAGATACCGTTTTCGTCCCACAATTTTCATTTTCGAATTTCGTTGTACCCGTCAATTTACTTTTTAATTTACTGCAATTGCCACTCCGATTCCAAAATGGTTTTACGATGCGCGGAGAAAAATCATTGTTCCTAATCATATCGACAGGGAGGTGGAAGTAGACTTTCATGAAGGATGAACATAATTTGTTTTAAAAGTTTGCAGAATAAATATCTGTTTTGTTTTAGTAGAGGTTTTACGGCGCTCGGAATTGCATAAGGTCATAATATGAGCACCAGAAGATTAGAAGTGTTACAAGAGAGTAACAAACAAAAAAGGAAGTGAGATATGGACGATAGATGTTTGATAGGAAAGAAGAAGCAAGAGGCAAACCACATAAATAAATATCTCTGATAAAACAGTTTCGATAAAAATCCATGTCATAAAACTTGTTGTAGATCTATTATAAACCCAAGGCAAATGTTGCACATTGTTTACAGACAGTCTGCCACTGACTCATAAGATGATATAAGAAATTTCCAGCAAACAGCAGAGATACAGTATGGTACGACTCAATATCACCACACCAGCAGAGAGAGAGAGAGAGAGAGAGAGAGAGAGAGAGAGAGAGAGAGAGAGAGAGAGAGAGAGAGAGAGAGAGAGAGAGAGAGAGAGAGAGAGAGAGAGAGAGAGAGAGAGAGAGGAGAGAGAGAAAGAGCCCCCGCGCTCCTCTCTGTCTCTGTCTCTCTCTGTCTCTCTCACACACACACTCTTTGTTTCTCTCTCTCTCACTTTGTCTCTATCTCTTTCACTCTTTGTTTCTCTCTCTCTCTCTCTTTCACTCTTTGTTTCTCTCTCTCTCTCTCTTTCACTCTTTGTTTCTCTCTCTCTCTCTCTCTCTCTCTCTTTCACTCTTTGTTTCTCTCTCTCTCTCTCTCCCTCTCTCTCTCTCCCTCTCTCTCTCTCTCTCTCTCTCTCTCTCTCTCTCTCTCTCTCTCTCTCTCTCTCTCTCTCTCTCTCTCTCTCTCTCTCCCACTCCCTCTCTTTTCCTGGCTTGTTTTTAGATTTTTGTTCGCTTTGTTTGTGTGTTTCTTTTTTCGCTGATAAAAAACGACACTACCCACAAAACTATACGTCAAGCTCGTTATTATAAGACTGCACAACATAATTCCTCAGTTTACACGCACTTTATTTTCATTTACTCCTTATTACGTTTAATCGCGACAACCTTTTTTAATACAGGAGTTTTTACACCCTCCATCACATCATTTAACAGGCCAGCTTGTGCCCCTCTCTGTCAGGACCAACTCGGGCTGTGAGGGATACAAAATCCCAGGGGAAAGACCGAGATACTCGACAAAAATGTCTCCTCATTTGGGAATTGAACTTGGGTCTCCTACGTGCGACAACTAAGCGCATAGCAGCTACACTACATGCGCCGGTAAGGCAGCCTTAAGCAAAAATATCTTCTTTATAAGCCCCACCCCCAAAAAAATAAACAACCCGTAAAAGAGCTTTAAAAATTCAATAACACAAAAGGCGACATGATAACCAGAACTACATGGTACCTTTAAATACACACACAAAGATAAAACAGTATGTTCCCTTTTTATCGGACGAGTTTGTAGCTAGAAAACAGTGGATAAGACAGTCAAATGTTGGGAATAAAATAGAGACCCCGGAGTTATAATATGGACCAGTAATTAATTATCTTTCCAGGCCATCTGTTTTTGTGTTGCTGCGCACTCCTTTCTTCTTAAAAGTTCACATTGCTCTACATTTTAACCCTGTGGAATTTGGACCCCCCCCCCTCCCTGAATGTCAGGCGATTCAGTAATGTCAATCAGCCTTCCTTCTTAATTTACCTTTTTGTTTCGGGTTGGGGGAGGGGGGTATTCTTGGTGCAAGATTAAAGAGTGGAGAAACTGATAATGATAATATTGTGCAATACTGATAATTAAATGAGTCAAGCAGCCACACAATTAGGCAGAGTCAACTGGGTTTCCTGTGTGCGATGGCTAAACGCTTAACCGCTAACCCGTGAGAGAGAGAGAGAGAGAGAGAGAGAGCGAGAGAGAGAGAGAGAGAGAGAGAGAGAGAGAGAGAGAGAGAGCGAGAGAGAGAGAAAGAGAGAGAAAGAGAGAGAGAGAGAGAGCGAGAGAGAGAGAGAGAGAGAGAGCGAGAGAGAGAGAGAGAGAGAGAGAGAGAGAGAGCGAGAGAGAGAGAGGGGGGGGTGGTGGTGGCGTGAAGGGAGTTCGAAAAAGGTAAGAAGAGGGTCATGCAGATCACTAGATAAAAACTGGCACAGAACTGTTCCACGCGATATCACGTATGGACCACTCAGTGTGTCTGTGCAAGGTGACAAACTCGTATCCCAGTTCACACACACACGTTCTCTGGGTCTCATTCAAACTTCCAGCAATAAAAAAAAACATCGGCACGTCCATCAGTGCCTTGTCTTCAACACTTGTGCCAACATTTCAATGGCACTTTGTAGCCTATGATGTGTATTAAAGTGCACATGGAAGTAGTCCGTTTTAATTTCAGTAAGTGTTTATTTGTTTGTTTGTTTGTTTTTATAGATCTACAGTTATTTATTTATTTAGTAGAGGTTTTACGGCATTCGCAACTGCATACGGTCATATGAGAGCCAAGGGGTGGATGTCAACAGAGAAGTCTTTACACAGAATCAGGCTTCTCACCTCTCTAGCTTCAACAGCACAAAGTCTGTTTCGACTTTCAAGGCACCACGAAATAGCGGGTCAGAAGAGTGTGACAAACATACAAAAGAAGTTGAGGAAAAATGACCATAGTAAGGATTAGGAAAGAAAAAGCAGCAGTTCCTTGTTGTGAATTAGGCAGTTATGAGCGTGACATTGATGAATCAGCCCATTTACAAATTCTACTCTGCATGAACAAGAAATGCCCCCCCCCCCCCTTTTGGGAATGGCCTAAAGACACTTCAGTCAAGTATTAGTAAGTGTTTTACGGACTTGGAGGTCATGTGAGTGCCGAAGATTAGAGGTGTTACAATGTTACAAGAAAGTAACAAACAGAAAAAGAAGGAGGGGAGATAAAGACGATCGATGTTTGGTAGGAAAGAAGTAGCAAACCACACCAGAGCACCCGCGCCACCACCTACGGAAATAGTTCAAATCTATACAAAATGACAAATGTTACAAGAAGCCCGGGCCAACAGACAGATGCAAAGAGGACAAGAGGGGCATCTAAAGAGCGGAAACATACAGCCGGAAAAAATAGACGCTATAAATAGGTAAAAGGGGACGTTCACGTAGGTAGGAAAATAAGTGTAAATGAGAAGGGTAGAGAAATGAGGGTGAGAAAAGAGAGAGAAAACACTGAGGGGGCGGGGGAGGGAGGAGGAGGTGGAGTGCCGAGAACGGAAGGATAATTATGAGATTATTTTTGAAACCTTAAATTAAAATCACACTCTTAGAACACACACACACACACCAAAAAAAACAAACGTAGTAAGAATCATTCATTCCTCCACATGAACGGCATCGCGTAACCGGCAAAAATTATAACTGTACAATTACCCATTGTGTCTTGAATATTAATCGCCACCAGAACACCCAAGAATCACCCACTAGCCGATACGGTGCGTCAGTGCTGCGTGTACTGAAGTCACCACACTCCGTCGACAAATACCTAGGCACAAGGCGCTAGTATAGCAAAACTTGCGGGCGGAAAATCCGGACCGAAGGTCTTGTAACCTCGTGGCGAGTATCCAGGTCGAACGGTAAGCCAGGGACTAAACCCTCGCACTGCGCCACTGCACCTTTTGTTCACGCAAGCGTAAGTCGTCCAGCAAAGATCCAGTTATTGGCTATTCGGTCCCCTGTGCGCTAATTTGACCTGGGGACTGTTTAACCTTGGCGAACCAACGGTGTCGGGATTGCAAACGTTAGCGTAAAGGCAGGTCAAATTCCGAGTAACACGTCCGGTTAACCGGTCAATTTTCCAAAATGGGATCACTAGATGAAGGCCTGGATTACTAACTGGTACTGTGAAATGGTTTATTGGTCCTTTAAAATTTTTTTTAAAGATTCTAAATCTCGTTTGGCTAAACAGGCTTAGCTGCACTTCAGACATTTCAAATCATTTAGAAATTCAACCTGTCTTCCAGAGCCAACCTGGGCTGGGCGTGATACGGTATCCTAGTAGAAAACTGGAGATACTCAATAAAATAAAATTCCATAAACGAAATTAAAGGCATGTCCTCTAATTGAAAGGCGAAAGCCAAACCATCAACCTATATGGATCAACTCGCTCTCCCAAAACCGTTTAAGTGTAGTGCAACACAGTGAGGCCGAACTGGGACTCCCGAAGTCAAACCAAGCGTTATCATGATGACAGTGTACTACGAGGTCCTCGTACACTTTAAAAAATAGTTATTTATGGACCGTTTCTCCCTATCAAACATAGACTAACTTTAAAAAAGTTTTAGTAGAGGTTTTACGGCGCTCGCAACTGCATAAGGTCATATGAGCGCCAGAAGATTTAGGTGTTACAAGAGAGTAAAAAACATAAAAAAGAAGAAGGGGAGATAAGGACGATAGATGTTTGATAGGAAAAAAGAAGCAAACCACACCAGAACACCCGCCAAACCACCCACAGACTAACCTTGAACCTTTTTATTTAAAAAAATTTCAATGTAGGTCCTCTACTCCTCTGTTTCTGACGTGAATCTCAGAAATATAAATGACGATACCAAAGATAAGATACAAGAACATTTGAAATATGTATTTCACAAAGTGCCCAAACAACCGGGAGACATTGAAGAGAAATGGAGCTACTTCAAAATGTGTGAACAAAGCATTCAAAGAAGAGTGCGGCACCAGGAAAATAGGAGAGCAGAAAGGGAAATCAATACGGTGGGGTGACCAAGTAAAGGAAGCCACCCAACTGAAGAAAAAGGCATTCATAAAGTGGCAGAAATCAAAGACAGAGGAAGATCACATCCTATTAAGAAAGGAACGCCGCCAAAAAACAATAGTAGTAAACGAAGCTAAGAACAGATCCTGGACAGTATATGGAGAACAGCTTGCAACAAAATGCAAAGAAGACCCTATAGAGTTTTAAAAGAAGGGCGGGAAGAACCATTCAACTCAACTGAAATAGTCAATGATGAGAACAGAAACCCTATTTTCAGTAAGCCAAAGATTAAAGAAAGATTGAAACGCTATTTCCAGGAGCTGCTGAATCCTACAGGAGAACAACACCAAACATCTTCTCACCAAAAGAAACCACCCCAGAACCACCAATACTGCTGAGTGATACCCAACATATTATAAAGAAAAGCCCAACAAACAGCGCCAGGCGTTGACAACATCACAGCAGAAGTGATCAAGATATGCGGCCATATCGGTGAACTCTGGCTATGGAGGATATTTAACCTGGCCTGGGCGACAAAAACAACACCCGATGACTGGCAACGAGCTGTCATTGTACCTATTTGGAGAAAGAAAGGTAACAAAAGAGACTGTGGAACCTACAGAAGAATATCCCTTCTCAGCCATGAGGGCAAAATGTTTGCCAAGATACTGGAAATGAGTATGAGACCAATTGTAGATACTCAACTCCGTGAATCCCAGTTTGGCTTCAGAAAAGGCAGGGGATGTACTGGCGCTATTTTTGCTTTAAGACATTTGTGTGAGACTGCCATTGCACATGACAAAGACCTCAATATCGTCTTCGTGGATCAAGAAATGGCGTTTGACCGGGTAGATAGATGTCAACCTTGAGAAGTCTTAGAGGAATATGGTGTAAGAGGACAATTGCTGGAGAACATAATGGCACTTTATAAAAACAGCCTCTGTGCCGTAAGATCAACAGAAGGACTATCGGACTGGTTCCCCATCAGGTCTGGGGTGAGACAA